GGAGGAGAAAGGCCATGCATCCTATTCGCTGTGCTTCACATATGCATCAGTATAATGATTTGGGGTGTAACTGGCAAGCCAGTGTCCACTAGATCCCTCTACTCCTGTGGGTCTGATATGTCAGGCCAGGCTCTCAAATCTGATATACAGCAAAAGACTGCTGCCAGCCAGAAGGTGCAAAGCATTGGCAAGTTTTGGCTTCTGAGGAGCTCAGGCCTTTCTCCGGACCTCCTGGAGGAGCTGTGGAACCCCTCCACTGCCTTCCCAGCAGCAGCTGAGCATGCAGCCCACATCCTTGCACATTGGAGCCCTGACATTCATCTCTCTTCTTATCTGGAAAAGTTTCTTTCTTGTAAGGGAGCCCATGAATACTGGGAAAGGTCTCTGAAACATCGAAGATGGGCTTCTTTACATCAAGGAGCTCAAAGCCCACCATGGGGAGCTCCTCTTTAATCATGAAGAAGGCACTGAAGAAGGCACAATAATTGTCAAAATGTCACATCTCCAGAAGCATTTCCCTTCTAACAACCCAGGTAGGCGGACCACAGTGGCTACCTGTCCTGCTCTCCGGTGACCCTCACCGGCAGGTGCTTGAGTTTGGGGCCTGGCTGCAGCAGAGCACTTGCCCTTGCCCTGTTCTCCCATCCTTGTGGAGCTCTCCTGAAACACTGTCAGCTGCCTGCAAACACAACAGAGGAGGATTTGCGGCGAGAGATTTTGCTCACCTGCTGGGTGCCCAGGCAGGAACCTGCCGTCAGTGGGACATGCGTCATGCCCATTGTGGAGTTCACCAAGTCCCTGTGTGCAAGGAAAGCTTCTCGACTCAAGGGGAAGAGCTCTGGGGCTGCCTTCTATGGCTTTCCCCCAGCCTCATTTGGGAGAAGGCTCTTTTTCCCCAGCAGCCTGGCCCAGCTGTGCCTTCCCTGTCGCCCTGGAGAGTCTGGCTGGAGAGCGACTCTGGGGTGTGAGCAGCCGGCTCTTAATAGCAGGAGGCATCCCTGTAAGGAGGAAAAGAGAAGGCTAGTCAGAGCTGCTCCTTGGTGGCCACAAAATTTCTTCACACAGAGGGTGGTGAGGCACTGGAACAGCTTGCCCAGAGAAGCCGTGGATGCCCCATCCCTGGAGGTCTTCAAGACCTGTTTGGATGAGGCACTGGGCTACTTGCTCTAGTGAATGGCATCCCTGCTCATGGCAGGGGGCGGGAGGGAATAGAAGATCTTTAACTCAATTGCAACCCAAGCCATTCTGTGATTCTCTGGAAAGGTTCAAGATTCCGCTCCAGTGAGGAGAGCTGAGTGACGCTCCCTGCTCCCTTCAGGGAGAAGGGTGCCAGTGAGAGCCCAGAGGCCTCACTGAACAAGGGGCTGTGGAAAGAAGGCTGTTGCAGCAGAGGACTACCAGAGCGGGAGCTCCTCCACAGTCTTCCCGGGGCTGTCCACAGCTCTGCTCTTGGTCCTGCCTTCCTGCAGGGCCTCCTTCCTCTTCCCCAGGAAGGGGTTCCTTCCTGGGTGCCCAGGAAGGAATCTGCCGTCAGCGGGATATATGTCAGTGAGAAACTTACAGTGAGGCGGCATTTCAACAGCTGGCCATTGCTATTCAGGTTGTGAACAAAGTCGGAAGAAAAGTTCATTTGGACTCTGCTCTTGCGGAAGACCAGACGGCCGATGTCCTTGAAGACGAAATCAACAGCCTGCTTCTTTGCAAGGGTGTAGGAGAGAAAGAGCAGGGTCTCCTGAATGCAGCGCTGCACGGTGTCCCGAGGAATGCTGATGTCCAAGGACAGCCCATGGCCCCTTGTGTCAGTGACAGGGAATGACAGGCTGAGGCACTGTGTGAGTCCGGGATGGAGACCTTGGTCCAAGCAGCTACGGAAGGCCACGGAAAGGGTTCTTGTGAGCCAAGGGACTACATGTGAGCACTTGTGATCCCAAGGAAGGAGCTGTTGCTAGTGGAAAGAAGGCTGTTGCAGGTGAGGTTTACCGGATCAGAAGATCCTCTGCAGTCTCTCCAGGGATGTTGACAGCTCTACTCTTGGTCTTGTCTTCCTGCAGGACCGCCTTTCTCCTCTCCAGATGTTTCCTCACCCGCCCTGTCCGTACTGAAAGGCAGCTGCAGCAAGTGAGAAAAAAACTCACAGGTGGGCTCAGAAGGTCCCCAGTTCTGCTGGATGGAGAAGCAAAGCCCAGAGCTGAGCCACCCACATGTTGGATCCTTCAAGCAGCCTGCTGCAGCTCAGCTTTTCCTGGCCTTTTTGGGTGCTGGCCCACACTTACTTGGCACTTCGTTTGCTCAGAGGAGCTGCCTCAGCCTTCTTCTCTGGCAGGTGAGGGATGAGGACATGCTGCTGTTTCATGTCCACTGGCACCATCTGCAGAGACTTTTTCAGTTCCACAAGTGCCATGGAGGATGCACTCTCTGTCTGAAGCCTCTGCATTTCCACCTGCGTCTTCTGCTACAGGGGAAGAAGAAAGAAGGAATGTTTTTATGTGGAGGTGTTAATGTGGGAGCTGTCCCATGGCCGTGGGGCAGTCATCCCCTCAGGGTTTTCCCAGGCTCAGGGCAGTTTCCCTGCAGCCTTCTTTCTTTCAGAAAAGTAGCATGAAAGGCCTCAGCCTTCGCCTTTAAAGTTAAGGGGAAGACACTTTCACAGCAGTAGGCTTTGGAGGAGCCCTCCTCCATCACGGATGATAACATTTTCCTCACTCTCCCACTCTTTCCTTGAGAGCCTTGAGTTGTGCTCAGAAGTCCTCTTCCTTCTCCCATTCTTAACTGAGCTGCTCCTCAGCCAGCGATGCCTGCAGAATTCTTTCATTTCACTGCTAACAAAGGCATCATACTTCCTACAAGGAGGAGGAGTGTGGAATGATAAGAAAAACATCAAATTTCCACAAAGGCAATGCTTGAAACAACCCAGTAATGGGTACACAGATCCAGTGGCTACCTATCCTGTTCTCCGTTGACCCTCACAGGCAGGGGCTTGAATTTGGGGCCAGGCCGCAGCACAGCGCTTGCCCTTCCCCTCTTCTCCCATCCTTCAGGAGCTCTCCTGACGTGCTGTCAGCATTCTGCAAGCACACAAGAGGAAGATTTGCTGCTACAGCTTTTGCTCACCAACTGTGTGGCCAGCAAGGAAAGGGCAGTTGGTGGGGTATGTGTCAGGACCCCCGTGGAGTTCACCAAGTCCCTGTGTTAAAGGAAAGCCACTCGATGACTCAAGGGGAAGAGCTCTGGGGCTGCTTCTTTAAGGTTCCCCCCAGACTCACCTGCGAGAAGGCTCTTTTTCCACTGCAGCCTGGCCCAGCTTTGCCTCCCCTTTCATCTTGGAGAGTCTGGCTGGAGAGCGACTCTGGCACGTGAGCAGCCGGCTCTTAATAGCAGGAGGCATCCCTGTAAGGAGGAAAAGAGAAGGCTAGTCAGAGCAGCTCCTCGGTGGCGTCTTGGCCATGGCTGCCAGGAGACTGCTGTCATGTTACCTGTTCTGTGAGATTCCTCCTCCATCCTCTCCTCTCCCTTCTTCTTGTTTTACTTACCTGTTTTCAGGTGTTGGGAGGTGATTTTCCCTTGCAGCTCCTCCACGTCATATATGGAGCCCAATCCTAGCAGCAAAACTAAGCCAGTGTAACTCCAGGGCACATCTTTCAATGCTGTAAAGTGCTGGTACTAGTGCCAAAATTTGACTCTCTGATGCTTGTTCTGCCACCTCCTTGGCTTCTCTGACAGCCGATCTATTTCCTCTTCCAATACCAGTATCCCGTGCTTGATGTCCTTTATAGTGCGTAATGGCAACTTGAATAGGCAGGTATACAGCTTGGAGTAACTTCAGTATCTCTTCTGCATGTTTAATTGAGGATGGTAAGAGTCCTCTCTCCTTTCAAATTGCACCGTGTGCATGCACCCCACCAAAGGCATACTTCTGATTTGTCCAAATATTAATTCTTTTCCCTTTTGCCAGCTCAAAAGCTCTTACTAAGGAGATGATTTCAGCCTTTTGGGATGATGTTTGTTACCACATATCCTGTGGGGTGAACTCCCTGGCGGATGAAGCTGCTGCCATCCATATGCCCATCGTCCGCATCTTCCAGGGGTGTTTCCTTTAAGACTTCTCAAGTCTCTGAAGTGTCCTGAGGGACAAGTGTGTGCTCTGCAACACAGAGAGGAGCTTCCCCTGCAACTCCTCCATGAGGTATATGGAGCCCAATCATGGAAGCAAAACTAAGGCAGTGTGACTCCAGGGCACCGCTTTCAATGCTGTAGAGCGCTGCTCTTGGTGCCAGCATCTTGATAGGGGCTTGCTGTGGGCTGGGAAGGGAAGAGCCATTCCCCCAGCCCATGGTTTTTCCAGGCTGTGGAAAACTGTGCTTGGACTTTGCTCTTGCGGAGGAGCATGTCCTGGTGTCCAAGGAAAGGCAGGCATAATTCAGGACACCAACTGAAGGTACACCTAAGGGAAAAGCAGCAAGGAGCTTCTGAGTAACGAAGACCGGCCTGCAGAGGAGGGCAGTCACGTATGGGCATCTGTTGGGTCCACCAGCACTGTGAAAGAGCTGGCTGGCTGATGGCTCCTGTGGAAAGAAGGAAATGCCTAAAAGGCAGAGCTCCAAGAGGCTGGTGCAGCACAATCATGGTGTGTCACTGATGCCACAGCATCTGATGCCCTGCGGCTGCCCAACACCTGCAGCTGTGCCAGCTGCCAAGAGCAGAAGGCAATCACTAACACACTATTTTGCAATCTGCAAGCACACAAGTGGAGGATTTGCTGGCAAAAGCTGTTGCTTATTAACCAGACACCCAGCAAGAAACAAGGCATTTCCTTCCCACACCCAAATGGATCACCTTGCACACCCCCTGGGGCACTCTCGAGGATTGTATGGGACTGAAAGGAGAGAGTTTCCTTCTCAGTGCTGGCATGCTCGGCTCAGCTGTGGCCCTACAGGAAAGGGGATCTACAGGAAAGTGCTCCCTGAGTGCAGGGAGAGAGAGAGAAAAGCTGCTCCCTGACAGGGCGGCTCCAGCCCCGCCCTCTGACAGCCCTGGCGGCCATTTGGCAGTTCTGCCTGCCCCCCGCGCCACAAGCTGGCTGAGGCCTTGGGCTGTCCCCAGCACGGCTGCCAGTGGTGTCGGGCGGCATCTAGAGCCAAGAGGCCTTTCTTCTTTTTTGTGCTGAAGGAAACTTTGTGCTGTCTGGAGCGAGCAGTGCCACTTTTCTCCGCATTCCGGGGCTGTCATGGTAAGTGACATGGCCTCTCACTTTGAGGGCCCTGTTTTTCGTCAGCATTTGTGAGGGGCTTCTGCATCCCCCCCGCTCACTTGTTGCGGCCAGGGCTTCCCCCCAGGATGTCTGGGCAAGGCCCATGCCGCTGGGCAGGCTCTGGGTGGGCCTCGTCCCCTGCAGGGGCAGGCGTCTGCCGCTGAGCCCACAGCCCATGAGCAGCTCCTGCACTCGCGGCTGCCCCTGCGCGGGCTGCTGCCGCTGCTTCTGGAACCTTCCTGCAGCCTCTGGTGCCTGCTTGGCGGCGGCTCGTTGGGCTTGGCAGCCTGGGATCTGCCCCTTGCTGCTCTGGCAGTATGCACAAAAGAAGAGCCCAGCTCCAGCAGAAGGACGGGTCCATTCTGCCTGGTGCTTGTGTGTTGTCCGTGGCCAGAGTGGGCAGGCCAGCATGTCGCTGGTGCTGGCACTCAAGGCTTTCCCTACTTGTTGGGAACTGGTTGGAGGGAACTCTTTGGGGGATTTTTATTGAGCTGAGGGTGTTGGCTGTGCTCTTACTAGCCCAGCGTCACTTTAGAGGGAAAAAAGGAGGGAACTGGGAAAATCCGTGACATCAAGGCCATCTCCAGGGCTCTGCAGAGTGACACTGCCTGGCACCTTCTCATGAGCAGTGGCCAAGGCATGAGGGCCCATCTTCTTGCTTGGAGAAGCCCCAGAAATCCTGACCCGTGTTCCTGATTTCTTGCTTTTCAGGGTGTCACAGTACCTGGGCTGGGCACCTTCTTTGCTGTTAAACAGGAGCAGCCCATGGCAGGCGTTAAGCTCCTTGACGCAAAGAAGCCCGTCTTCCAGGTTTCGGAGCACTTTGCCAATGTTCATGGGCTCCCTTACAAGAAAGAAACTTTTCCTGGTAAGAAGAGAGATGATTGTCTGGGCTCCCACGCGCGGGGACTTTGGGCTGCATGCTCAGCTGCTGCTGGGAGGGCAGTGGAGGGGTTCCACAGCTCCTCCAGGAGGTCCAGAGAAAGGCCTGAGCTCCTCTCAAGCCAGGGCCCACCAATGCTTTGACTCTTCCAGGAACCACAGGGTTTTCCCCAGGAAGAAGGCAGCTCATCCAGCAGCGTGGACAGGGAGGCTGCAGATGAGGGGTACAGAGCGCCTCCCCAGACACCTGGAGGTCAAGAGTCAAAGCCATCAGCATGTCCCAGCCCCAGTGAGCACAGCACTGCGGTGCTGGTTGAGAGCCAGTGACGTGCACGACATGCCTCCAGTGTCTCTGAGGAAGAGCTGGATGAAACAGCCGAGATTGTTGTTGCTGCAGTGCTACTCCATTCTGTAGCCATCATGCAGGGAGCCACGAGCAAGGATCCAACTGCTCCCTTGGCCACATGGGCCAGGGTGCCTCCTCCCATCCCAGAGCCTGTTGACTGTACAGCAGTTGACGAAACCGGAGCAGTGGCTTCTCCCTTGGCTACGGTTCCTGGGCACCAGGTAAGCCCAGCGCGTGTGGTGGTCTCCAGGCACCGAGGGCAGCCCGAGGCAGAAGCAGTGTGTGGGGTGTGCGTGCTGGGGAGCTGCCTGCTGCTCTCCATTCCCAAACGCCCCAGGCACAAGGGCTGACATCCCTTCCATCACCTACCTGTGCTCTTGCTCTCCCCATGCAGGTTGCTGCCGAGCAGAGAGGCCAAGCGCAGTCTTCCTGCACCAAAGATACACCAGCAGACAAGCCAGCAACGTGCCAGAAACAAGAGCCGCCCCAGGGACTTTTGGATGGGCCTGTTCAGAGCAGCGAGCAGGAGCAAGGGCTCGGTACGCGCAGGGGGGCTGGCTGGTCCTGGGCCACCCCTCCCCTTGGGTGGTGGTGCGGGGGGAAGGCAGGGGCTTGCCCATCACCCGCTCAGGCCCTAACCTACACCACTCTGTCTCCCACAGGCATCCATGACCTCGCACAAGCCCCGGCACGCCAGCCACAGCCCGCCCACGTCAGGAGAGCTCTGCGGGCTCTGCGCAGGGCTTTGTGCTGCAGCTTCATCCCAGAAGAGTGGGAGTAGCAGCAATGTATCAGCAATGTAGCCCGGTGGTCGTGGGCAGGGGTCTTTCAGGATGAAGGCAACGAGGAAGAGGAGGTTAAACTCTCTTTACCTTTGTGGACTTGGACCTTCTGTTGGATAGTTTAGGCCTTTTTTTGCTTATCTTTGCCTTGTTTCCTGCCAACAAGTTGTTCCTTCTTTCTTAACGAGATGTTCATTCTTCCCTCATCCGTTAGCCTTGAACGATATCTTCTTTTTACATCTGCTTCTCATCTACATCCCTATAATTAGGATATTTTTAGGTTCTCATCCACATCCCCAATACTTAAGGTACTTTACCATGTATGTAATGTAGCTAGATACTAGTTCAGATAGTTTTTTTAACATCTTCCCCATCTCAATTGCCCCCTTTTCTTCTAAATCAATAAAGTCTTTTACTTCGTACTTATTCTCGGCCCCCTCTCCATACCTATTTGTAAGCACATATTCCTTTGAAACATTGTAATATCAGGAAACAAATATTCCGTAAAATAACAGAACCAGGCCCGTAGTAAACAATTGTTTTAACCATGTCAAACTTGGTAACCAAACTTGGGATGAGCGGGCCGTGCCAGCCCGCAGCGTGGCATTGGCGGCCTTGTTGCCATCCCCAGGGCACGGCTGAAGGGGATATTGTGGGTTTGATTTGCAAGGACGGGGAGAATTTGGGATGCAGTATCCCACTTCATCCGCAGGCAGTTCGCGCTGAACAAGGTGGGCTTTGCAGCCTCATGCTGCCCTCTTCCTCTGCTCTTTCCCAGAGCTGCCACCCCACAGAACGCACTTGTGGACCTGAAATCGAAGTCTCTGCAGATGGCAGCAGTGCCTATGAAGCAGCAGCATGTCCTCATCCCTCACCCCCCAGAGGAGAACACTGAGGCAGATCCTGTGAGGAAATCAATGCCAAGCAAGTGTGGGCGAGCTCCCACAAAGGCAATGGGAAAGATGAGCTGCAGCAGGCTGGGCTCTCACTGGCACCCTTCTCCCTGAAGGGAGCAGGGAGCGTCACTCAGCTCTCCTCACTGGAGCGGAATCTTGAACCTTTCCAGAGAATCACAGAATGGCTTGGGTTGCAATTGAGTTAAAGATCTTCTATTCCCTCCCGCCCCCTGCCATGAGCAGGGATGCCATTCACTAGAGCAAGTAGCCCAGTGCCTCATCCAAACAGGTCTTGAAGACCTCCAGGGATGGGGCATCCACGGCTTCTCTGGGCAAGCTGTTCCAGTGCCTCACCACCCTCTGTGTGAAGAAATTTTGTGGCCACCAAGGAGCAGCTCTGACTAGCCTTCTCTTTTCCTCCTTACAGGGATGCCTCCTGCTATTAAGAGCCGGCTGCTCACACCCCAGAGTCGCTCTCCAGCCAGACTCTCCAGGGCGACAGGGAAGGCACAGCTGGGCCAGGCTGCTGGGGAAAAAGAGCCTTCTCCCAAATGAGGCTGGGGGAAAGCCATAGAAGGCAGCCCCAGAGCTCTTCCCCTTGAGTCATCGAGAAGCTTTCCTTGCACGCAGGGACTTGGTGAACTCCACAATGGGCCTGACACATGTCCCACTGACGGCAGGTTCCTGCCTGGGCACCCAGCAGGTGAGCAAAATCTCTCGCCGCAAATCCTCCTCTGTTAGGTAGCCACGGTGGTCCGCCTACCTGAGTTGTTAGAAGGGAAATGTTTCTGGAGATGTGACATTTTGACAGTTATTGTGCCTTCTTCAGTGCCTTCTTCATGATTAAAGAGGAGCTCCCCATGGTGGGCTTTGAGCTCCTTGATGTAAAGAAGCCCATCTTCGATGTTTCAGAGACCTTTCCCAGTATTCATGGGCTCCCTTACAAGAAAGAAACTTTTCCAGATAAGAAGAGAGATGAATGTCAGGGCTCCAATGTGCAAGGATGTGGGCTGCATGCTCAGCTGCTGCTGGGAAGGCAGTGGAGGGGTTCCACAGCTCCTCCAGGAGGTCCAGAGAAAGGCCTGAGTACCTCAGAAGCCAAAACCTGCCAATGCTTTGCACCTTCTGGCAGGCAGCAGCTGCCGGAAATGTCCCTCTCCATGCTGTTGGCACCCTGATGGCTGCGTTGGTGGTTGGCTTCTCCTCTTGGCATCTGGCACAGCTGCAGGTGCAGAGCAGCAGCAGGGCATCAGTGCTGGAGGGCCCAGCAGCTATGCAAATGTGACTGCCCTCCTCTGCAGGCCTGTGTAGTTACTTTGCTCCTTGCTTCTTTTCCGTAAGGTGTAATTCGATTTGTTTTCCTGAATTATGCCTGGCTGTCCTTGGACACAAGGGCACATTGCAGTGCTGCATTGGGAGGGCCTTGTCCTTCTGGGTCAGACGCGTCTCCTGATGAGGCACAGGAGCCTTGCGCCTGACAAAGCCATGCAGTGATTTACCAGGTGCAGGCACTCGCTGCGCAGCTTGTGCTGCTTGTAAGGAGGGGTGAACACTAAGCCCTGCAAGCTGTGCCCGTGGCAGCTTTCTGCCTGAGCAGCCGCAATGCCTCCGTTGGAAAGGGCATCCCTTCCTGGCCATGGTCTCAGCCAGGACTGTCTCTCCTGCAGAGGCTAGGCACAACAGATTTGGCCACATGGGAGAGAAAAAGCATAGTCCCACATCCAGCTTCTGGGGGTGTCCTCATCTTTTCCACGTGGGCGCGTTGCTTCTGCAGCCCTCGGCTGAGAGTTTTGGCAGCTTTTCAGCTCCTCTCCGGAAGGTCAGCAGTGCCAGGGCTTGCCCAGTGCTCAGGGAGGAGCTGGAGGGAGACTTCTCCAAGCACTGTTTCCTCCTCCACTCCACACCGATTCTTGCTTGTTTTGGACGAGGGGGCATTCTCTTTGTGTAGCTAGGGCTGGGGGAATGTCTATTGCCTGCCCAGCCCACAGCAAGCCCCTTTCAGACGCTGGCACCAAGACCAGCACCCTACAGCCCTAGAATGTGGTGCTCTGGAGTCACACTGCCTTGGTCTTTCTTCCAGGATTGGGCTCTACATACCTCGGGGAAGAGCTGCAGGGAGAAGAGCCTCTCCAAGCACCCAAGGGTTTTGCTTTGGAGAAGAAGGGAGACGCAAGTGTGGAGGGAGAGTCTACCAGAACAGGTAAGATTGACTCTTGTAAAGCTGACCTCACAATCAGTAAGATTGTAAAGTAGGTATGTTTATGCAGCACTGGGCGGCACGGGGGGTAGTCCCACCAAAGTCGTGCGCCCCTAACACGGCAACTTGCTTTGGTTATATGCAGTAGAGATTTACATATGCATGAGGTTTCGCAGTATGCCTATACATATTCATAACCTGTCCCCGCTTAGTATTAAAATTAGTTCCAAGAAGTCATTTCCATAAGCTCCTCCCCTCTGCGCTTGCGCGGTGCCTTCTGGTGGTGGGCACTGAGGGTCGTGAGGATGAAGTGAGATGTCTTCATCAGGGTTGAACTTTTCACCTCGTCTCCTTGCGCATGCTCTCTGAGGCCTTGGTCATAATCTGGGCCATAAGGTTGGTTTGGTCCAGTTCTCCGGGCCTGAGGGGCTCCTGTTATCTGGAGGCCTTGCATGTTTGACATTTTTTATCTTGTCCTTTTAAGAACAGTGCTCCTTATCTCTGAGCCCTTGGTCACAGTCCAAACCATAAGGTTGGTTTGATCTGGTTCTTGGAGTCCCAGGGGCTCCTGTTATCTGGAGGGCTAAGCGCAGCACAGGCACATCGCAAATGTAGCACATATTAGGCAATGAGTGTTGCCTACATATTCATTCTTAATCAATCACTCTCTAATTTCTAATCCCATGTTTCAGTCCCCCTTTTCTGGAAAATCTAGTAAATTCTTTTACTTAATACAAAAATTCTTCTTTCCAGTCTCTACGGTATGTACCCCTCAATACCTTGCCATGTACCTTTGTCAAGGAAGCTAGTATGGCCATTCATTGTAACCATTTCCAATTCCAAAAGTATTACAAAAGACAATATTAAACTTATACCAACTAATATCAGTAAAACAACAACCGGGTGACACAATGTGTTCAAAATCCCAGTTGCAGTTGGCGACCATCCTAAGAGTGTGTCCCACCAGTTGTGATTTGTCTTGTTTTACTCTTTGCAAATCTCTGCTTATTTCCTTTGTATCATGATGGACAGTGATTAGAGTCTTCTTTCCATTTTCCTGAATGCTTTCTTTTAAAAAAAAATTTTGATCAGGTCTTGGTGTTTTAACTAGTTGCTTCACTAACGTGAGGTTCACCCCAGCAGGTGTAGGTAATAACTTGTGATAGATTGTGTTGTTAGACTTGATCAACTGGTGGGATACCACTGGTGCCAAATATAGAAAATCACACCTGACAATTCTAACAAAGTTAGAAAAGTTAGAATGATTTTTGCTAGGGAGAGTCACGTCTTCCTTATCTACTTGTACAAAAGCACACGCAGCCTTGACCAATATATACAAGCACAGTCTTTTGACTACTATTTGGATGAATTTCAAAGTGGCAAACGCCTTGTTGCGTGTCAAGACATACATCCTGAGCATCAATTGTGTTGCTTTCACAAATAAATCCTTGTTGTTCCCAGGTAACACATGATTCTAGACTTACAGACTGCCATTTCCCATTCTCCATCCATGCCCATGTTCTATGCTCCGAAGGATACAGCACTGTCTCCTCATGGTTTAATCCTAGTGCAAGGATGGGGTGGATAACATAAACTGTGGCATTACTTATAGTAGGCACAAAGGCAGTAGCCATGTTAACAATGGGATCATAGGTAAAATTTACCAGAGTCCACCAAGATTGGAACTTCTTCTCAAAATCATTGGCATTGTCCCAAACAGCCTTTTGGACTTCAGCCAGAAAAATGCCTTCACTTCCTTCCCTAATGATCAAGGCAGCCGTTGCCTGCATCCATAACTGTGCTTGTATACAGCTAAGAGCGAAAGATACATTATCTTGAACCATACTAAGTGCATCTGTTCTTAGTTTGTGGTCTTGGTCTTCAGCCTTTTCCCATCTCGGTAACACCTGTGAAATTTGCCATTGGCTAGTTCCCAATGCCAATAAGGATGATTGTAGGGGCTGTTTTAGTTTTGTCCCACTGTTGTAGGAAGTACAGCCAAAACCAGCTAATTACTACAGTCTGTGTAAATACAAAATTATACCACCAATCTGATTTACCTGGGTGGATACAACCTTCTTGTTGGCCACTTTTGGAAATGGGTTTTACAAAAATCCCCGTTACTTTCTCGTGGGTCATTCCATTAATCATTCGGCACCCTATTTTAATTTCGTCCCCTACGGTTCTTTGGTGTGTCCATTCTTGCCCTAATTTTTGCCATTCTTATAATGTATCTAAATGGTCATCATTTGTTCGCCAAATAACCACAACTGCTAACTTTCCGTTAATGCTCTTATCCTCTGTTGTTACAGCTTCAGACCAAGGCCGCTCACCATTCTCTAGTATCATAGAGGCATCTTCTTGAATCACAGTTACAACTTATAAGCCATAGAAATAAAACAATTCTGTTAACTAAATTCCTGCTAACCATATTACTAAATACTCCTGACTGTGATGTCCTCATTTTGCTCGACTGAGCTTTAGTTCAGTTCACCGTCACCTGGCGTTACTTTCCAGGGGGTTCTGGAGCTTTCTTCACTTGAGAACGGTGAATCCAGGCACTCTGTTCCCTGATCTTAACTGCAGTGAAGGTTTTAAGGAGCACCTGGTATAGTCCTTCCCACTGTGGTTTCAAAGTTTTCTCTACAAGAGACTTAGCTACCTCTCAGGCTTTGGCAGTCCTACTGGGGAAAGCTTCTGGCCATCCTGAAAAGGTATCTGTTAACACCAGTAAATATCGACACCCCCCTTTTCTTGGAAGTTCAAAAAAAGTCAATTTGCCACTGTTGCCAGGCCCATGCCTTTTCCAATTTGACATAGTTTTGGTTTGGGGGCATTTTGGGGTTAGTCTGGAGACAAAGATCACAATATTAAGCTATTTGAGTGATGGTAGCATATTAGTTCCTGGCAATATTTTTTCCAATTAGATAGCTATACAAAGCGTCTATTCCCCAATGGTTTTCCAGTGTTCTTTCTTTACCAGTGACCACAATAAATTGGAGGCGATGACTAGCTTCCCTTCCCTTCTTTGGTAATAGCCCATCCCTCTTGGTTATTTTTCCCTTCTGACTTTCAATTAATTTTCTATCCTTTTTGTTATATACAAGCTTACCTTCAAGGGGAATTTGCCTGTCTGGAATCAGGGCTCCCTCAGTGCTACCTCACCTTCTGCTGCTTCTTTTGCCTCTCTGTCCGCCAGATCATTTCCTTCCTCCAATTCTGAGCTCACCGTCTGGTGTGCCTTAATGTGCATGATTGCTACCTTTTCAGGCAGCTGATCTGCTTCCAATAATCTCATTATTTAGTCCAGCTTCTATTACGTCTTTGCAAGTGTTAACTGCATACCCAGCGTGTTGTTTTCCGCTGATGACGTAGCTGCTCCCATATTTCCACCTCATCAGAAGGAGTGTCCTTCAGATCTGGACGGCTGGAGTAGGTAGCTTCAATGGTCTCCAGGCAGTCATGGTGTACTGGCTCCCCTTGGTTTCTGCTGATTTCAGGAACCTTTGTGGGGAAAGCCAGTGACCACCTTTCACTTCCAGCACTGTGGACACTGTGTGAGACACTAGCACAGTAATTTTCTGTCCCAAGGTGAACTTGTGTGCTTCCTGGATATTTTGCACCACTGCTGCAACGGCTCTGAGGCATCCCAGCCATCCCTTGGCAGCAGCATCCAGCTGCTTCGAAAAATAAGCAACTGCCCTTCGCTATGGGCCCAGGTCCTGTGCTAGTATTCCCAGGGCAATCCCCTGTTTCTCATGGGAGAAGAGGAAAAATGGTTTATTCACATCTGGAAGTCCCAGAGCTGGGGCTGACATGAGAGCCTTCTTCAGTTGGTCAAAGGCTCGCGTGGCCTCCTTTCTCCATTGGAGGTCCCTGTTCCCGTTTGCAATGAGCACATAGAGTGCTTTTACAAGGCAATCCGTAATTATAGATCCACAATCTGCACCACCCCGTCATTCCCAAAAAGGTTCACAGTTCTTTTATTCGTCGGGTTTCAGGGTTTGACGTATCGCTTCTTTACAATCATGCCCCAGGGTCCGTTGTCTGGCATTAACCTCATAACCAGGTAGGTCACCTTCTGCTTTACCACCTGAGCCTTTCTTCTTCGATACCCTGTACCCCTGTAGTCCCAGAAAGTTTAGGAGGCTTACCATCCAGGCCACACATGCTTCCTCTGTCTGGGTGGCTATAAGGAGCTCATCTACGTACTGCAACAGCCTTCCTTCTCCTGATGGGGCTTTCCAGGTCTCCAAGTCCTTTGCACGTTGTTCTCCGAATAAGGGGGTGAGTTCTTAAAGCCCTGAGGTAACCTCGTCCACGTGAGCTGTGTTTTTGTGCCCACTCAGGGCTTTTCCAATCAAATGCAAAGATTTTCTGACAGGCTTCATGGAGAGGGAGGCAAAACAAGGCATCCTTCAAGTCTAAAACGGTAAACCAAGTTAGCTCTGGTGTTAAGCATGTTAATCAATTATCAGGCTAATTCCTTCTCTGTCTTCCTTTTTCAAGGGACACTGTTTAAGTGCATTTTTTGCCTTCCGTGTTACCTTAGAAGATCATACTCAAGAAAACACTTGACTTAGGATTTCCTCACTAATTTCCTCTTTGGTCTCAATAGCTGTCAATATCAAACTCAACACTTCCACGTATCTTGATCATTTACCTCCAGAATAATCTCCCCATTTTTAAATGAAATGGTTGCTTGTAATCTTTACAATAAATCTCTCCCTAGGAGTTACTCCGGGGAGCTGGGCATGCATAGGAACTTGTGAATGCCCCACTGTTTCCCATATTTACATTTCAATGGCTTGCAGAAATATGCTATTTCAGATTGGCCAGTTGCCCCCTTCACTACAATGCAATAATTCCCCACTGATACTAATGCTTTCTTTAAAACCGAGTATGTTGCCCCCGCATCCACCATAAGTTCCACCTCTTTTCCCTCTTTCCCCATCTTCATTTTTGTAACCAACAGATCTGGGGTAGATTCCCCCAGTCCTCTTTAGTCGTCTTTTGCATGTGCGACCACCACCTCCCTTCTCCGGTTCCCTTTTCCATTTCTTTTCCGTTCTGGCTTTCCTTTTTCCAATGCCCAAATTTCTTACACGGGGCGCATTGCTCCTTGCCTAGTCGGGGCTGTTCCTGTCTGGGCCTCCTTTTCCTTCTTCTCTAGTAACTGCTATCAGCATCTTCTGCATGTTTAATTGAGGAAGATAAAAGAAGATGAAAGTCCTCTCCTTCCAAATTGCCCTGTGTGCATGCACCACACCAAAGGCATATTTCAAATCTGTCCAAATGTTTGCCAGCTCAAAAGCTCTTATCAAGGTGCTGATTTCAGCCTTTTGGGCTGATGTTTGTTACCGTATATCCTGTGAGGCAAAATCCCTGGCGGACGAAGCTGCTGCCATCTATCTACCAATCCTCCACATCTTCTAGGGGTATTTCTTTTAAGTCTGGTCAGCTGGAGGATACGTGTCCATGGTCTTGATGCAATCATGAATGGGTGATCTGGAAACTCTGTTACTGAGGAAAGAGGCTGGGTTCACAGTATTAGTGCCGAAAAAATGTAGCGAACTAACAGTCCATTATACACATTCCTTTTCTTCTTCAGTAGCTATCATTTGCACATTGCAACAATGTCCCCTTTTCCCGAAGGGGTCTTTCAAGCTTCAAGATCACAGTTCCCGAATATGGTGGGGCTATTCTTGAACCCCTGTGGTAACACTGACCAAGTAAGCTGAGTTTTCCATCCTCTATTATTATTTTCCCACTCAAAGGCAAAGAGTTTCTGGTTTTCAGTTGCCACGGGCAGGCAGAAAAGGGCATCCTTTAAATCTAGTACCATGAACCAAACTTGACTGTTTTTCTCATTTTGTAATTCCCATCCTTTTTCCCATTTTAAATTTCAAGCATTGCAAAAAATGCCTTTTCCTGTTGGCCAGTTGCTCCTATTACATTTACGGACTAATTAACACAGAGAAAGAAGCGCCCGTAACCAACAAAAAATTCAAGCTTCACTTCTTCATTCCCTAGCTTTATTTCAATCAGTGGACCTGCCAGGGTAGATGCCCCAGGTCCCCATCATTCCTGACTGTTGTAAGTTTATCCTGCAAACTAAGACAATTTCTTTCCGAAATCAGGGGCTGATTGCCCTGGAAAGAGGCTAACCAATTGCCTCTGTTTGTTTTCTGAAGCCAGGTCCAGTTTTTTTTTTTTTATATTATTATTTTTCTCTTTGAAAGTTCAGTCCCATTAGCAATCTGAGCTCACACATGAACTCAGGTTGTTTTAAGAGTTAGCTGCTTTTCTGTTTCCATGTCAACTCTCTGGGACCCATCAGGGTCCCTCTGCCCCAGAGGGCTCACACCCGTGATTTTGAGATCTCAGCCTCGGGCTGAGGCAGACCTATTAACATTCCTACATCCTCTTTCCCCGCTCATTGGACTTCAAACAGCTTTGTCAAATACTACATGCCACACCTTTAACACCTTCAACAACCCTTTTAGCACTTCCTGTATCTTTCTCCAGCCTGTACTTTTCTAATGCCAGCACCAAAAGCTCAGTCAGGGGCCAACTTAATTCCATACCTTTTCCCTCCAAGATACTGACACAACATATCAATATACAACATCTCATCCCATTTTCCTTCTCTCCTCAAAAACATTAATTGCAAGATAGTGTTATAGTCGATTGATCCGTAAAGTGGCCATTTAGCTTATATAGTGGCCACCATTGATTGCAATACTTAGTGAAAGTCCTCTTGCTTTGCGCTGCCCCAGGCGTTTGGAGCTCTGTCTTTCAGAGATTCTCTTCCTCCAGACAAGCAGTCAGCAAGACAGCTCTGTAGCAATGCTGGAGGGTCCAGCAGAGGCCCAGAGGTGACTGCCCTCCTGTGCAGGCCTGTGTAGTTACTTTGCTCCTTGCTTCTTTTCCGTTAGGTGTATCCCGTTTTCTTTTCCTGAATTATGCCTGTCTGTTCTTGGACACCGGCATTCCTCGGGACACGGTGCAGCGCCGCATTCAAGAGACCCTGCTCTTTCTCTCTTGCACCCTTAGAAAGAAGCAGGCTGTTGATTTCGTCTTCAAGGACATTGGCCATCTGGTGTTCCACAAGGGCTGAGTCCAAATGCAGTTTTCCACCGACTGCGTTCCTCAGCACACCATGGCAGAGCAGCAGGATCATGACTTCAGCTTTAAGGCCACTGGCTGTGTGGTTCTCTGGAAACCTGTCTCAGTGTAAGTTTCTGAGGGCTTCAACACTGCTCAGGGTTCTTGGGAAGTCCCGAGGCCATCCAGAAGGACTTGTGGTGGGTGTGACTTATCTCCTGTCTGAGGCAGTTGAGTCTCACCTACGCACAAAGTCAGGCAATGTTATACCTGGGTGTGCATGCTAGCCGAGCAGCTTCTGTTGTTTCTAAGGAAGGGAGGAAGGTTTGTTTTTTTTTGCCTGAGCAGCCTGAAGGTTAGCTGATTTTGCTGTGAAGGGGATCCTGTCCTGGATGGGATCTCACCCAGGGCTGCTTCTCTTGCAGAGGCGAGGGATGATGCGTTCAGCCACATCTGGCCCTCTCACAGATGAGCTCTGGTAGCATAGTTATCTTTCCCAAGTGAGTATGCTTGCTTCTGTGGCCCCTGACTGACCACATAGAATCTGGAGGGGTTGGAGATGAACAGCTCCTCAGACAGCCCGGGGGACATAGAGAAAATGAACAAGGGAGTAGTAGTGAGGATGGAGAAAGACACTAAGAGCAGGCAGTGTGAGAGCTGGCTCCTGGCAGTGCTTGCAGGTCCAGCTTTTGCTCTACCTATAAAAATGTCGTCCCATTAACCTGCAGCTTTTCTCACTTTGACCCATCTGATTCTCTTACTCACCCCACTGCAGGGGAGTGAGCGAGCAGCTGTGGGGCTCATTTTATAACCTATTGGGGTTAACTGACAGGAGATGGCAGCAGTGTTCGGGGCTGAGTTCATGAGATGAGGACAGGTCTAAGGAAACCTCAGTTTTGGGGTGTCTTGCTGAAAAAGGCAAGTATTTGTGAGTATGTCTCCATCAACCTAGAACCTTCCTCCTTTCTCTTCCCTTCCTTAGGCTGAGTGAGAAGACTTGCATATGGAACGAATGTGAAAGGTGCTGGCATGTACAAGCTAAATATTACTGAATAAAGACAGTGGTAACCAGCCTCAGCCGTGCTGCATATGAGCTGTGAGAAACGGGAAGAGAAGAGCTGGCAGCTGTCTCCTCTGTTCTTTCCCATTTCTGGCTGGGAGCACGAGAAGCCCATCGGGACAGTGTTTGCAGGGGCCATGACAATTTTGCTGGGCTAGGGGAAGCCTCCGCTCCTACGGGTGGAGAAGGGACAGAGAGAGATGGAGGCCAGGAGTGCTGCCATCCTGTGCAGCAGCCACCTCATGTTCCCAACTCTCATGCACCTCCCAGATGATGGTGAGCCCGACAGGAGTTGCCTCAAGAAAAAGCACCCGCACAGCCCTCTCGAGCCACAGTTTCTTGTGGGGAGAGAGAGGGAGGGTCTCGGGACATGGGCACCAGTCCACACGGCCACCAGGGCTGTGCTGCAGGAGCAGGCTGGCTTGCAGCATGACCTCTCTTTCCCTTGCTTTTCAGGGATTGTGAAAGTTTGGGATGCAGTATCCCACTACATCCCAGCAACGCCTAGCACCTTCTGGCCGGTAGCGGCTCCTGGAAACGTCCCTCTCCGTGCTGTTGGCACCCTGATGGCTGCGTTGGTGGTTGACTTCTCCTCTTGGCAGCTGGCGCAGCTGCAGGTGCAGAGCAGCAGCAGGGCACAGTGCTGGAGGGTCCAGCCGCTGCCCAAACGGGACTGCCCTCCTCTGCAGGCCTGTCTTAGTTCCTTTGCTCCTTGCTTCTTTTCCCTCAGGTGTACCTCCAGCTGCTGTCCTGAATTATGCCTGGCTGTTCTTGCACACCAGCATTCCTAGGGACACCATGCAGTGCTGCATTCAGGAGACCTGCTCTTTCTCTCCTACACCCGTGCAAAGAAGCAGGGTGTGGACTTCATCTTCAAGGACATTGGCCGTCTGGTCTTCCGCAAGAGCAGAGTCCAAAGGCAATTTTCCACAGACTTTGTTCACAGCCTAAGTAACAACGTCCAGCTGCTGAAATCTCAGATGAATGACCAAGTGACAGGACCAAGAGAAGAGCTGTGGGCATCCCTGGGAAGACTGCAGAGGATCTTCTGATCTCCTGCGTTTTGGAAGGAGGCTGTGCTCCGGGCTCTTGGGACAGGCAGAGGTGGCGATCTTCAGAGCCCACCCGAGAGGTTTCTTCTCCGTTGCTGCAGCTGCCTTTAGTGCGGAGTGTGCGGGTGAGGAAACATCTGGAGAAGAGACAGGAGGACAGTTCTTAAACACACGCAGCCTTGACCAATATATACAAGCACAGTCCTCCTGCACCAAAGATACACCAGCAGACGAGCCAGCAACGTGCCAGAAACAAGAGCCGTCCCAGGGACTTTTGGATGGGCCTGTTCAGAGCAGCGAGCAGGAGCAAGGGCTAGGAACGCAGGGGGACTGGCTGGTCCTGGGCCACCCCTCCCCTTGGGTGGTGGTGGGGGGAAGGCAGGGGCTTGCCCATCACCCGCTCAGGCCCTAACCTACACCTCTCTGTCTCCCACAGGCATCCATGACCTCACACAAGCCCCGGCACACCAGCCACGGCCCGCCCACATCAGGAGACAGGCGCTTCGGGCTCTGCGCAGTGCTTTGTGCTGCAGCTTCATCGCAGAAGAGTGGGAGTAGCAGCGCCCAGCTGCCAGCACCAGGAGGGCGCTCGGAGCTGTACGCTGACATCACTGATAGGAACAGGACAGTGCCCCAGGAATTCAGATGCCCCACCACACCCTGCCCCCCCCAGCCTCAGCTCAGCTGCGGCTGAGAATTTTGCTGTGAATAAAAGCTCAGGCAGAGTTTTGCCCCCAGTGCTCCTCTCTGTGTCGTTGATCTCAGGAGAAAGAGTGGTGCAGGCCATGCCAACCTGGCGCCCTGGGCCTCTCACAGTCATAGAATTATAGAACCATGGAATCGTTTAGGTTGGAAAGCACCTCAAAGATCATCACGTCCAACCGTTATATACACATAGCAACTGGCAACGCTCCTCCTGTGAGGCTGAATGTACCATGCCAGTTCTCGTGGGCGAGGAATGTTCTAGCATGTCGCAGGAAGCACGACCGAAAGCACAACACACCAGTATGGTCAGAACATGCTCCATTCTATTGCCCGAATAGCCTAACTTTTATAGTGAACTTAGCAGGGGCGGATCGTGTCTCACACAAGATTATTGGTCAAAAGCACTCAGACAAACAACTACAAGAAAACAACCCCACCTGCAAGAAAACAAGCCCCTTGTGATTAGCAGTCAGGTGGACCTTGTCCTTGAAGCCAGATCTGGTAACAATGTTTTTCTAAATTCCTCAATTGGGCGATGTGGGAACACTGTCATGGGAACTTCTCATAGTTGCCCTGGTAGCTTGGTTTGCTCAGCTGCAGCAAGCCATGGGATTTTTGCTGTTTCAAAAAATCCTTCAACAATACCCCCCCCCCTTTTTTTTTTTCTTTTTTTTTTTCTTTTTCTTTGAGCAAACCAAGCCTGATGTAACAGTTTTGCAAGTAACCCTTTAACCACATTTATTACAATACAACACGTAATGATGATTAACACCACAACAAACAGAATCCTTAATCCCTCTTTGACTAATCTCAGTAACCACCTATGCATCGTTTCAAACAAATCAGTGAACCATTGATTGAAAGGATTGATACCATACTGAATCTTTCTCATGTGCTCTTTCAGGAAAATAATGGATTTGTGAATTGATTCATTATGATCAAAAAGGTTTAAACAGCACATTCCATCAAAGTCCTCACACCCATGCCTTTGAGCCAAAAGCAAGAAGTCAATAGCAGCTTGATCCTGTAAAAGCACATGTTGCAGACTGTTTTGATCTGGTAACACCTCCTCAAGTATCTCTGTCGCGGCATGGGCTTGCTTCTTGGCGCAGCATAACAATTTTTCTAAGTTATTAAGTGTGGCCGCAGAGGCCACTTCGGCACTAAAATTGCCAATGCCTCTCTAGCTGCAACACCAAGCAATTCAACATTATCATTGCAATCCGGTGCGAGCAATGCTCTTTTATGTCTGGTGATCTCACGCAACTGCGACAAGCTAGGAGCAAATATAATGAGTTTATCTAAGCAACATGGACCTCCGATAGCATTTGTAGGGATACCTTGCCAAGCCCTATCCCTGCAAATCAGAAAAAACATCAGGAGGTAAGGCCATAGCTGTATAATTGTTCCAAACACTACAGTTGTTACCCCTTGTCTCCGTGCCATAAACCCCTAAACCCTGCCTAGCAGTGTCATTGTAATCACAGGTGTTATTTGTATTTCTGTACCGGTATGGCCCTTTCCAAGTTCCTGTAGCAGGATCTCGGTAATTCATTCTTATTTGTGGTAACACATTTGGTGCTGCTATATTTATTGTTTGAAAATGAATACTTGCAGGAGGGTCTTCTTGGTCCCTAGTCAAACATAAGTGATTGAAGACAGCCAATGCCTTGGACAACCGTTCATCGATGTTCTTGATCTCTTTTAATCTCACTAGTTGTTCCTTTCAAACCTGATGTGATGCTAGCAAAACCTTGCAGTCTTGTGTCTTGGTGAAGGATGAGGATGACATTTTGCAGGAAGAACACAAGGGTTGGTGAGAGGTTAGTTACTACGGAAACACCCGAGTATGGTCAAGACGGTACTAGGGCTTCTCCCGCCCAAAAGGTGGCCCAGCTGCGGTGCATTTACACTAATGCACACAGTATGGGTAACAAACAGGAGGAGCTGGAGGCCACCGTGCTAGAAGGAAACTATGACGTAGCTGCCATCACGGAAACCTGGTGGGATGATTCCCATGACTGGAGTGTGGCTGTTGATGGCTACAAACTGTTCAGAAGGGATAGGCGAGGAAGGAGGGGAGGAGGAGTTGCCCTCTGTGTTAGGAAGTGGATAGATTGTGAAGAGTCTGCCTGAGAAACAGCCATGACCAGGTTGAGAGCTTGTGGCTGAAAATCAAGGATCGGTCCAGTAAAGGACATCCAGTGGCTGGGGTCTGCTACAGGCCACCTGATCAGGGGGAGTCTGTTGACGAGGCCTTCTTGCTTCAGCTGCAAGAACTGTCGCGCTCGCAAGCTCTTGTCCTGATGGGGGATTTCAACCACCCGGATATCTGCTGGGGGTCTGCTGGGGTTAGCAGCACGGTGGGTTCCAGACAATCCAGGAGATTCCTGGAGTCTGTTGAGGATAACTTCCCAATCCAGGCAATAGACGGACCGACCCGAGGTGAAGCCTTACTAGACCTGGTGCTCACCAACGTGGAAGAGAGCACTAGAGAGGTTAAGACTGGAGGCTGCCTGGGCTGTAGCGACTATGCCCTGGTGGAGTTGTGATCTTGAGGACTATGGGTCTGGCAAAAAACAGAGTCACGACCCTGAACTTCAGGAGAGCAAACCTCCAGCTGCTTAAGGAATTACTGGCTGGGATCCCCTGGGAAACTCTCCTGAAGGGTGTAGGAACGGAACAGAGCTGGTGGTTCTTTAAGGACACGCTTCCGAGAGTGCACGCTCTCCATCCCCCAGCAGAAGAAATCGAGCAGAGGAGGCGGGTGACTGGCATGGCTGAGCAAGGACCTGCAGCTGCAACTGAGGGAAAGGAGGGAAATGTACAGGAAGTAGAAGCAGGGTTGAGTAGCCTGGCAGGAATACAGGCATGTCATCTGAATGTGTAGAGATGGGATCAGGAAAGCCAAGGCTCAGATGGAGCTGAACTCGGCACGGGACGTGAAAAATAGCAAGAAGGGGTTCTACAGATACATAGGTAGGAGGAGACAGGCCAAGGAGAGTGTTCCCCCGTTGATAAATGAGACGGGAAAGCTGGCCTCCTCAGACATGGAGAAAGCTGAGGTACTCAATAAGTGCTTTGCCTCCGTCTTCACTGGTGGTCAAGTTTCCTATGTCTGTCAGTACCCTGAAGCTCCAGGAGAGGGTGAGAGGAGCAGATTCCATCCCACTGTGACAGTGGAACAAGTCCGGACCGCCTAATGAAATGGGATGTGTATAGAGAGGTGGCTGACGTGGTTGCCGAGCTGCTCTCCATCATATTTGAAAAATCATGGCTGTCAGGTGAGGTCCCTGGTGCTGGTGACTGGAAAACATGACTCCCATTTTTGAGAAAGGCCTGCAAGGAAGACCTGGGGAGCTACGGGCCGGTGAGCCTCACCTGTGTGCCTGGGAAGATCATGGACAAACGAAGAGCAATGGATATCATCTACCTGGACTTGAGCAAAGCCCTCACCCCATTCCTCTCTCTAAATTGGAGAGGTATGGATTTGAAGGATGGACAGTTAGGTGGACAAAGAATTGGCTGGCTGGTTACAACCGAAGCGTTGTGCTCAACGGTTCTGTCTGGGTGGAGGCCGGTCACAAGCGGTGTCCCTCAGGGGTTGGTCTTGGGACCGGTGCTCTTCAACACCTTTATCAATGACATAGACGATGGAATCGTCCACACCCAGGCCCAGGCTCAGTACTATTGTCCCGGGAGTTTCTGTCGACATTGTTTAAAAGGCTCGTTTGATAACACATTATATTGTAGACAGTGTTATAAATTCCGAGTCAGTTTAGCTTTATGAGATTTATTTATGGGGTCAATAATAGGCATAAACAGTGCTGGGTGCGCGAGGAGTCTGGGCTCCTCCAACACACACACATGTTACATCAGGCAGCTGGCTTTTATGCTCCTAGGCTAATACATATTCATTACTACTTCTAGAAAAGGCAGAGTTATTATAATAATTCCTGGAATCCAAACCCTCCCTCTGGCTCATGCGTATCAGTCTCCAGTGGTCCCTCTGGGGGTCTCTCGTGCTGAAGGCTCGTAGTCTTCTTCCCAGGCTTTTTCCTTGTCCTTCTCCTTTGTCCATCTTGGCCAGATGTCACAGACTTGCGCAGTATCTCCCATGCAAGCTTCGTTTTTTAGACATCCTTCAGCTTCCCCTTCTCCTTAATCTCTTAGCAGATATCAGAGACTTGTGTAGTGTCCCAAGCAATAGTCACAATAGTTAGTTATTCTGAACCCCCCCCCAGATATCAGAGACTCAAGGTCTACCCTTCAAGCCCTCTGTTGGCACGAATTGCTGAAACACTCCTTACACAGGATTATGTGTAGGAGCTCAACTTCAAAACATATTCCTTCCCGAAACTGCAG